CTCCCAAATAGTCACACCAGCTGGAGCTGGGTCGATCCAAAGCCAGGAGCAAGGAATTTCGTCCAGGTCTCCCATGTATGTGCAGGGGCTCAAGGACACGGGCCATCTTCCACTGCTTTCCCAGGTCATAGCAGACAGCTGGATCAGAAGTGGAGTATCTGGGACTGAAACCTGTGAGAATCCAGCATTGCAGGTGGTGGCTTTACCTGCTACACCACAGGGTCTGCTCCATAGCACATCCTTAAGCACTTTTTTAAGGATGAATGAGTGGTGAAAGATTCTTTCAATTTCTGTTTGCTATGGAAAGTCTTTATTTCACCTTCATTCATAAATGAGAGCTTTGCAGGGTACAGTATTCTGGGTTGACAGTTTTTTTTTTTTCTCTTAAGACTTACACTGTCTCTCCATTCTCTCCTAGCCTGTAAAGTTTCTGATGAGAAGTCAGCTGAGTCTAAATGGAGATCCTCTGAATGTAGTTTGGTGCTTCTCTCATGCACATTTTGCAATCTTTTCTTTATGTTTTACTGCTGAAAGTTTGACTACAATGTGTCATGGTGAAGATCTTTTCTGGTCACTTCTATTAGGAGTTCTATGTACTCCATGTACTTGGATGTCCCTTTCTTCTTTTTTTTTTAAAGATTTATTTATTTATTTGAAAGTTAGAGTTATACAGAGAAAGAAGGAGAGGCAGAGAGAGAGAGAGGTCTTCCATTCACTGGTTCACACCCCAATTGGCCACAACTGTCAGAGCTGTGCTGATCTGAAGCCAGGAGCCAGGAGCTTCTTTCGAGTCTCGCACATGGATGCAGGGGCCCAAGGACTCAGACTATCTTCCACTGCTTTCCTAGGCCACAGCAGAGAGCTGGATTGGAAGTGGAGCAGCCAGGACTTGAACCAGGGCCAAATGGCATGCTGGCACTGCAGGTGGTGCCTTTACCAGCTACGTCACAGTGCCCGCCCCTGGATGTCCCTTTATTTCTCCAAATTGGGGAAATTTTCTGTAATTATTTCACTAAATAGCCCTTCCAGTACATTCTCTCTTTCCACACTTCAAGAACTCCTAAGACCCGTATGTTGTGTTATTTGATAGTATCCCATAAATCTCCAACACTGTTTTTAATTTTTCTAATTTATTCTTTTTGTTGTTGTTCTGACTCAAAAATTTCCAAAGATTTCTCTTGTAGCTTGGAATTTTTTTCTTCTTTCTCACAAAGTCTGTTGTTAAGGCTTTCCACTTCATATTTATTTGCTTTATCGAATTCTTCATTTCTAATTCATTTTGATTTCTCTTTAAAATCTCATCTTCATGGAGAAAATTTTCATTCATGTTATGTTTGGTTTTCTATAATTCATAGATTTGCTTCTTCTTGCTTCTGAGTAATCCTATGATTAATCTTTTGAATTCCATTTCTGGCATTTCCTCAATCTCTTCATCTTCACATTCTAATATTGAAGTGTTGTTGTATTCCTTTGGGGAGGTCATGTTGTCTTTTTTATTATTATTTCTTGAATTTCTGTGTTTGTTTTTTGGCATTTGTGGAGACATTGGTTTTTCCCTCTGTTGGCTTTTATCTTTGAACTATGTCTCCGTTGTTTAGTGGGATGCCTGCTCTTTTAGTGAATACGCAGAGGTGTATGTTGGATGTGGCCAGGAAGCTATGTTCAGTGCTCCAGGATGGGGTGAGTATCCAGGGTGATGCCCAAGTTTGGCGTGGTAGATCTTCTTTTGTTAACAGAATGGGGGTATGGTCATCTCCGTTGGTGTGATCACATCCTCACCTCCTCTCCTCTAAGATGATCAATGCATGGGTGCACCTGTTGGTACAACCATATGAACCACACAAATGATCTGTGCAGTCCTCACTCAAAGCATTGATCCTGTTGCAATAACCTACCCCAGGCAACCAGGGAGCTCCGAGTGTTTGGAGCCACACACAGTGATTGTCCAGCGACCCATCCATACCCTGCGCCCTCTTGAGCAGACAGAGAGTCCCCAGAGTCTCAACACATAATACTCCTACAGTCACAGGGTGTTGAGGGTCTGTTTTGTCCCACCAGCCTGTCTGGTCCACAGAGAGGCAGATGTTGCCAGAACCAGCTGCCTGTGACTGCTATGCCTTAGAGGCTTGAGCCCTAGTGTCTATAGCTTGGGGTGCCTCACAGACCTAACTGGATGCCCAGCCCCCTGTCAATCCTTCCAGCCAGACTTGAAGTCAGTGGGGGAAAGTGCATTTTTCCCTTCTGCTAGAATCTCTCATTCACACACATCACAAGACTCATTGGCCAAATGGTCCCTTCTGCCTGCCAGTTACACTGGAGCTGTTGCCACCAGTCCTGCTGAGAAGATGGCATCTTGTCTCAGCCAGCTGCTGTGCACATCCATAAGGGCTTCCGCCGCAGCCATTTCTGCTCAAATTGCTACTGCCCTCTCTCAGATGGCTGCCGTGTACCATTGTGGGGAGGATGCGGTGAGAGAAATGTGTCCTTTTTTTTTTTTTTTTAAACTGGGTCAGTGGGTACTCTCTCCCCCCTTAGCACTCCAGGCCAGACTCATGCCACACTCTCCTTCTGGCTATATCACTAGTAGCACAGGTTGCTGCAGTTTGATCCCATCTCAGTATCCAAAGCTGGTGCTTTCTCAGGCCCTATGCTGCCAGAGTTGTGTGTTTTGTCTGTGTTCATGGTACATGGCTACACCTTCCACACAGGTCCATGCCTTCCTCCTTCTTCCATAGAATTTCAACTGTGGTTTTCTGCTAATTCTCCCCTGAGAATGCACTTCGTACACTTTTTTTCCCTACTATTTATCCCTAGCCTAGAGCAGTACATCATACCCTATTCCGCCACCTTTGAATCTCATTTGCATCAATTTTCTGCTAATATTGTCATAACACAACAGATTATTTGATGTTATAATTACATGATTATAAGTGATTGTTTTAGTTACATATCACATAATTTCATTTCCCTGTTTTCCTTTTTTTTTTTTTTTCATTAGGAACAATTAGCATACTCTAGTCTTTCCTTCATGAAAAATAAGTTCCAGGGATGGGCATTTGACTCAGCTGTTAGGCCACTACTTGGGACACCTGTGTCCCATATCAAAGTGTCAGGCTTCTAATCTCAGCTCCACTACCAATTTCAACTTCCTATTAATGCACAACTTGGGATGCAGCACGTGATGGCTCAAATACTTGGGTGACTGTCACCCATGTAGGGGGCCCAAGTTTGAGTTCTGGGCTCCTGAATTCAGCCAGGCCTATCCCTGGCTATTTTGGATACTTGAGCAGTGAAATAGCAGATGGGAAATCTCTTTATGCTCTTTCTGCCTTTCAAATAAATAAAATGAGTAAATATATAAGAATGTAAGGGTAATTTCCATACTTTTAAATTTGTGAAATGTCATTCTTCCCTTTGGTACACATACAATCAAAGAGAGTTAAATATATTAACTGGAAATTTCCTGGAAATTTACATTTATAAAGACAGGCATGAAATACAAACTGTTGGTTTAAAGGCTAAATTTAAAGGAAATAAGTGTTAGAAAAATATAATTCTAGATTTCTAATTTTCCTTGAGGATTATTTTTTAATTCCATCAGTTTCAAATTAATAAAGGCCCTGGGGATTGCATTGTGGCACAGTGGGTAAAGCCACTGCCTACAATGACGACATCCCATATGGGTACCAGGTCAGTCCCAGCTGTTCCACTTTCGATCCAGCTCCCTACTAATGATCTGTGAAAAGCAGCAGAATATGGCCAATTGCTTGGCCCCTGCCACCCACATGGGAGGCCTGAATGCAGCTCCAGGTTGCCTGGTTCAGCCTTGGCTATTGTAGCCATATAGAGAGTGAAACAGCAGATGGAAGATTCTCTCTCTCTCTCTCTCTCTCTCTAACTCTGACCTTCAAATAAATAAATAAATAAATAAACCTTTAAAAATAAATAAATAGGGGCTGGCATAGTAGGTTAAGCATATAACACATGAGGTAGAATGGTTATAACTGCCTTGGAAGATGATAGAAGAACAGAGAAACAAACATAACAGATTGGATATAATGTGTAAGGCAGGATAAGCTAATGCCTGATTTTATTCTACAATACTGCCTATGTTCTGAGAGGATATTTTGATTACTAGTATCTTAAGAAATAGTCCCTTGCTCTTTCAAACCAGGGCCCTGACTTTGGTATCAGTGAGAAACTGAGGAGGTTGTCCTCTGTGGTCTAGGCTAACAGTAGAGGATGCAGTAAGTCTAGGACTCCCAATAGTAATGGAAATGATAAAATCTCAAAATAACAAAGGCCAGATGACACTCATTGTTTGTAATCAGCAGTGAGTGCAATGTAGTGAATTCCAAGTTTGAAATATAAGCTAACTGTAGTCTGATTTTTAGAGAGCTTGACGAGAATTAACAAATATACCTCTCTACCCAGGTTAAAGATATATATAAAAAGATTATAAGAATACTTTTCAAGCTGTAAAATTAATCCAAAGACAGGTGAACAGGGTCTCAGAACTCTAAAAGAGTATACTCATAATACCTATCACTTAGGATTGTGATGAAAATAGCATAAAAGTGGTTGCAAGAATGCTTGGTATAAAATAATTGCTTGATGTTACCTATTAAATTTATTTCAAAGTCCCTATTTTTCTATGGGCTATTATTTCATGATACTGTATTTTCTCACTGTTTTATATTAAAATAAGTAGGCAATGACTGAACTGTGGTTATGCAATTGTTAACAGTAAAGAATCTTGGTGATGGTGAGCAGAAAATCTATAATATATATATAAAACTATATATATATAAAACACACATATATATTTATATATACTATATATGTAATATACTCCAAACTTCCATACATCTAGCATTATTCCAAAATAAAAATTAAAAAGTAGGTAACCAGTATTGTTAATTTCATGTTGTATAAAGCACATCTGCAAAAAAAGTTGAAATACGGGTCTCAGAAATATAAATGAAAACAAGCACACTTACAGGAGCATCCTGTGGCCCAAGCTTCTCTCTGTATCTTGGCATTCTCCTCAGACCCTGTAGAGGAGAAAGAAAAATGCAATCATTTGGATCATTTAATTTGAAAAATCTAATTTAATATAGTTGACTATATTAATCCAATTGAGACTGAATATAATAAATTAACAAATAGCAATATTTATGAGAATGATTATAGGTTGGAAAAACTTTCCATCTGTGGAGATATTTACAATCTCTTATGTAAATATATTTCACTGAAGCTAGCACAAAAGGGTTGCATGTACAATAATACTGATATGCTCCCAGTTATACAAGAATAAGGGCTTTCAACAGTTCAGAAAAATGATGAAATACAGCAAGGGCCTTTTTCCATTCAGAAGGTCCAAATTTCTTGACATGCCTGTTTTTCAGCCAACTAGTTAACACAGTTCCCCATGGCTTTTAATTCTTTAATCTAAATATTCTGTTAACATAGTCTAAAAAAACAGAAATGAAAACAAATACATGCTGGCGCCGCGGCTCACTAGGCTAATCCTCCGCCTAGCGGCGCCGGCACACCGGGTTCTAGTCCCGGTCGGGGCGCCAGATTCTGTCCCGGTTGCCCCTCTTCCAGGCCAGCCCTCTGCTGTGGCCCGGGAGTGCAGTGGAGGATGGCCCAAGTGCTTGGGCCCTGCACCCGCATGGGAGACCAGGAGAAGCACCTGGCTCCTGCCATCGGATCAGCGTGGTGCGCCGGCTGCAGCACGCCAGCCGCGGCGGCCATTGGAGGGTGAACCAACAGCAAAGGAAGACCTTTCTCTCTGTCTCTCTCTCTCACTGTCCACTCTGCCTGTCAAAAATAAAAATATATATAAAAAATACATAACCAAGAAACCAGTATGTACCAGAGGATCCATGGCATCTGGTTCCCCTCAAAGCAAAAATGAGATTACATTACAGAGTAAGAAACCTACAATTCATGTTCATATCACTTTGTTCCATGTGTGTAAAATTTTAAGGGCATATTTTCAAAGAGGACAATAGAATGACATACTTTCTTTAAAAAAAAAAAAGATGTATTTATTTATTTGAAAGACAGAGCCACAGAGAGACATAGGAAAGAGATCTTCCATCCACTGGTTCACTCCCCAGATGGCTGCAATGGCCAGAGCTGAACTGAACCTATCTGAAGCCAGGAGCCAGGAACTTCCTCCTGGTCTCCCAAGTGGGTGCAGGGGCCCAAGGACCCGGGCCATCCTCTGCTGCTTTTCCAGGCACATTAGCAGTGAGCTGGATCAGAAGTGGAGTAGCCAGGACTTGAACCGGTGCCCATATTGGATGTTGGTGCTGCAGGCCTTGGCTTTAACCCGCTGTGCCACAGAGTCAGCCCAGAAAGACATTCTTTTAATGAAATTTCTCAGAAATTTTTATTATTTTTTTTCTCAAAATGCAATGACAATTTAGTTTCTATAGAAATAAGTCTAAATAAAGGCGGCATTTGGTGCAGTGGATGAGATGCCTGCATCCAATATCTTGGTGCCTGGGTATGAGTCCTAGTTCTACCTCAGATCCCACCTTCCCACTAATGTTGTTGTGCATTCTTGGAAGGAGCAGGTGATGACTCAAGCAATGAAATCCCCGCCACCCACAAAAGATACCAAGATTGAATTCAAGGCTTCTTGCTTCAGTCACACTCAGTCCTGGCTGTTGCTGGTATTTGTAAAAGTAAACCAGTAGATACAAGGTCTCTCTTTCTCTCTCTCTCTCTCTCTCTCTCTCTCTCTCTCACCCTTTCAAATAAATGAAAATAATTAATTACAGGGGTCGGTGCTGTGGTGTAGAAGGTTAAGCCACTGACTGCAGTGCCGGCATCCCATTTGGGTGCCAGATCAAGACCCAGCTGCTCCACTTCCGATCCAGCTTTCTGATGTGGCCTGAAAAGCAGCAGAAGATGGCCAAAGTCTTTGGGCCCCTGCACCTGCATGGGAACTCCTGGCTCCTGCCTTTGGATCGGTGCAGCTCTGGCTATTGTAGCCAATTAGGGAGTGAACCAGTGGATGGAAGACCTCTCTCCCTCTCTCTCTCTCTCTATCTGTAACTCCGATTTTCAAATAAATAAGTAAAATTTTTTAAAAAAGAAAATAATCATTACAAAGAAATGAAAAGTGTCTAAATAAAACTCAGGATATAAACAAGATAAAGAAATGGAACTATCATATCTGATTATAGTAATTAGTTCCAAAAAAGTAATTCCATGTCTATGTCTTATATGTCTCAAGCAAGACTTTATAAAGCTACAATTTGCTGTAATTTCCCTTAAGATCTCTAACAGAAGACTTAGAAATAAGACGTTAAAAACAAATGTTTTTCCACATATTTGTGTCACCAAAAATTCCTCTACACAGTATTAATGCTTTCTCTCTCTAAAAATAAATGAAATTGAGGGGAAAACAATGGCCAGACAGTCCTAGAATTAAGAGGCTGAAAATAACAGAAGAAGTTATATTTACTTAATCATTTATTTATACTCCTTTTTTTTTCTTTTTTTGACAGGCAGAGTGGACAGTGAGAGAGAGAGACAGAGAGAAAGGTCTTCCTTTGCCGTTGGTTCACCCTCCAATGGCCGCCGCGGCCGGCGCACCACGCTGATCCGATGGCAGGAGCCAGGAGCCAGGTGCTTTTCCCTGGTCTCCCATGGGGTGCAGGGCCCAAGCACCTGGGCCATCCTCCACTGCACTCCCTGGCCACAGCAGAGGGCTGGCCTGGAAGAGGGGCAACCGGGACAGAATCTGGCGCCCCGACCGGGACTAGAACCCGGTGTGCCGGCGCCGCTAGGCGGAGGATTAGCCTAGTGAGCCGTGGCGCCGGCCTATACTCCTTTTTCCTACAGAATGATTTAAAGTGGAAATGAAAAATTTGGGGGGGCACTTAAAGCAGGAGAAATGATATAGTGAGGTTACACTGAGGTATTATAGCTTAGAACCAGTTGCTTCAACTTCAGATTGAAGGCCTTCAATACATTTGTGTCTTGGGAAGAAAATTATGAGATGATATTTGTATCCTATTTTTTTTAATTCTCCAAAACATGAGTCAAAATAATCTGACAGTCCTTATGTAAACTACTGTCAAATACAAAGTTGTTGCTCCAAACATTACCAGATTCTGAACCTTATTCAGATTGTACTGTGGTGTAGTGCATAAAGCTGCCACCTGCAGTGCTGACATCCCATATAGGCACCGGTCAGAGCCCCAGCTGCTCCACTTCTGATCTAGCTCTCTGCTACGGCCTGGGAAAACAGTAAAAGACTAGGCCTCTGCACCAACATGGGAGGCCCGGAAGAAGCTCTTGGCTCCTGGCTTTGGATTGGCACAGCTCTGGCCATTGTGGCCATTTGGAAAGTGAACCAGCGGATGGAAGACCTCTCTCTCTGCCTCTCCTTCTCTCTCTGTGTAGCTCTTTCAAATAAACAAATCTTAAAAAAAAAAGAAAAGAAAAAAGTATATGCAAATGGCATTAATGTTTACACTTTTTTTTTTTGACATGCAGAGTGGACAGTAAGAGAGAGAGACAGAGAGAAAGGTCTTCCTTTTCCGTTGGTTCACTCCTCAATGGCCGCTGCGGCCAGCACGCTGCGGATGGCGCGCTTCGGCCAGCGTACCGCGCTGATCTGAAGCCAGGAGCCAGGTGCTTCCTCCTGGTCTCCCATGCGGGTACGGGCCCAAGGACTTGAGCCATCCTCCACTGCACTCCCGGGCCACAGCAGAGAACTGGACTGGAAGAGGAACAACTGGGACAGAATCCGGCGCCCCGACCGGGACTAGAACCCGGGGTGCCAGCGCTGCAGGCGGAGGATTAGCCTATTAGCCTATTGAGCCACGATGCCGGCCCTAATGTTTTTACTTTTAAATAACATTTTCAACTTAATAATATTATGACCTTTCTAACATTTGTGACTTCATACAAATTTAATCTGCAGCTGTAAATAAGAACTTATAAAGGAAACATGGAATTATAGAATTCATTTAGTTAGAAAGTATAAGTTATACACAGAGTTGACATATATGTGTATTTTAAAATATTGAAAATATTAATTCAATATATAAAAATATTTTAAAAGATGCAGTTGCATTGTTACTGACAAAAATATGTAGTTAGGATTACAATGGTTGCATCTGCATTGAATATGTAGAGACATTTTTTCTTGTCATTATGCCACAAACAGTAAAATATTACAATAATTTAAATAGAACTTACATTGTATTAGGTATTATGAGTAATTCAGAGATTATTTAAAGTATGCAGGAGGATATACATATATTAAGTGCAATTTTTTTGTCACTTTATATTGGGCACTGAAGTATGCATGGATTTTAGTGACCCCCAGGCTCCTGGAACCGCTCATCCTTAAATATTAAGAGGAAATATATTTAGTAACTATTATAGCAGCAAACACTGTAACCAGAAGTTAAACTACTCAAAGCAGAGGCCACTCCATGTGTACTGACTGAATATTTGCTTTGGTCTCAGATAGACAAACATACCACTAGGTAGACTGTATACATGTACACATTATAAAATAGTTCCATGTTAATTGTCTTGAATTCTCTTTCTAAGATGTATTTTATTTATGTGAAAGGCAGAGTCTCAGAGGATTATAGTAGATAGAACTTACTCAGTGACCACTCAGGCCCAGAGACCAGGAGCACCATGATAGCCTCCAGCTTACTGTAGACAGAGAAAAGACATCGTGGAGTCATTAATAAGAACAGAATTTGCTTAAAATACATTCTTCCCAAAAACTTTCAGGAACATTATTTTTCACCAACATACTGTAGAAAAAAATTATCTTTCAATAAATCTTGAGTGATTAAAATTAGCAGAGATGGAAATTAGAGATGGAAACATAGTTAAAATATAGATCAATGTCAGTTATTGATTTGATGACATTTTCAAAAGTTTAAGTAATACCACTGTGCTAAAATTAGTAGCCAGGGGACAAAAAGCAAGAACATAAGAATAAATCAACTTATTCAGGCTGGCGCCGTAGCTCACTTGGCTAGTCCTCCACCTGTGGCGCCAGCACCCCGGGTTCTAGTCCAGGTTGGGGCACCAGATTCTGTCTCAGCTGCTTCTCTTCCAGTCCAGCTCTCTGCTGTGGCCTGGGAAGGCAGTAGAAGATGGCCCAAGTCCTTGGGCCCTGTACCCACATGGGAGACCAGGAGGAAGCACCTGGCTTCTGGCTTTGGATCGGTACAGTGCGCTGGCTGTAGTGGCCATTTGAGGGGTGAACCAACGGAAAGGAAGACCTTTCTCTCCTCTCTTTCTCTTTCTCACTGTCTAAATCTGCCTGTCCAAAAAAAACAAAACAAAACAAAACAAAACAAAAAAAAAAAACCTTGTTCAGTATCCAAATCAATTAGGTAAAGGAGGGGCTGGTGCTGTGACATAGTGGACTAAGCCTCTGCCTGCGGCGCCAGCATCCCATATGGGCGCCAGTTCATGTCTTGGCTGCTTCTTTTCCAATCCAGCTCTCTTGTATGGCCTAGGAAAGCAGTAGAAAATGGCCCAAGTTTTTCAGCCCCTGCACCCACATGGGAGACCAGGAAGAAGCTCCTGGCTCCTGGCTTCAGAGTGCCATTGCGGCTATCTGGGGAGTGAGCCAGCAGATGGAAGACCTCTCTCTCTGTTGCTACCTCTCTCTGTCTGTAACTCTGTCTCTCAAATAAATAAATAAAATCTTCAAAAAATTATATCAAGGCCTAAGGAGGAAATTCAGGATAGGAATTTAAAGAAAACATGGTTTATCTCCCTTATTTCGTGATTCAATTGTGGTAGAAGAGTAAATGTATTTGTAGCAAGCCAATGTATTTTATGTTTCTTGAATTTTCGAATAGTGGTATCAATATAAATGGGAAGGATGATATTATCATGAATTTTTTTAAATGACATGTTATGGAGAAGTTTTATAGATTTACAATTGTTTACAAAACAAAATTGAGAAATGAAATATCCAGCAGAATAAAGACATCAGGAAATATAAGAATGGGATGGTTTCCTGACTCAGAATTCTGCTAATTCTAAGTTGGTATTGTGGCATAGCCTGTAAAGCCTCCATGTGCAGCACTGGCATCCCATATGGGTGCTGGTTCGAGTCCTGGCTGCTCCACTTCCAATCCATCTCCCGGATATTGCACCTGGGAAAGCAGCAGAAGATGGCCCAGGCTTTTGGGTCCCTGCACCCATGTGGGAGACCTGAAAGAAGCTCCTGGCTCCTGGTTTCAGACCTGAAAGAAGCTCCTGGCTCCTGGCTCCTGGCCCCAGCTCCAGCTGTGGCCCTCTGTGGAGTGAACCAGGGGATAGAAGACCTCTGCCTCCCTATCTCTCTTTCAAATAAATAAATCCTTTCAAAAAAAGAATTCTATGTATCTTTCACCTAAGCACAATAAAGAAAAAGCAATAGAAATACAACAAGAATCTATTTCAATATTACTGTTTTGAAATGATCTTTGAAGCACTTTCCATATACTGTCTTAACATATACAAAAACTCAGTAACAATTATTTTATTATTCTTATTGCCTTTATTATTTGGGTTTGCATTCAATTGTCATTATGACTGCCATCAGTAGATTTAGTGTAGGTTGATTCTATTAATGATTATAAATTACTCATCATTATTATTAATCACCTCACATACTCAGCCTTATCCTAGGTAGTGTTTCTAACTCTCTCAGAAGCTCACTCGAACTTTTGTTAAGGAACTTCTTGTCCTAGCACAATCACATCAAAGAAGTCAAAACGCTGCTTTGCACATCATAGATTTTATTCACTGTTTTAGTAAAACAATGAATAGGAAGCTCAGCAAATGAAAATCATATAATAAATCCAAAGAAATAATTTCTTTACAAATTATTGCAGAGAAATCACTTCTTCTTTATATTGGAGGTGGGTAAGGTATAGGGAAATCACTGAGCTATGTTATTTCAAATAATTCACTAACATCACAGTTTTATGGTATGTGAGATATATTTCCATGTCATTACATAACTAACATAAAGACAAAATGAACCAAAAGTGCTCTTCAACAAATTCTGATTGTGCTGACCAAGAAATACATGCTGTTGCTCTGAGCTTGCACAGTGCATCTGTGAGGGGCTGGTAGGGTGTCTTTCCTCCCCATGGGGGACTTATGCTGTGAGTATGTGAGCGTCCAGCCTGACACTGGAGGTTCAAGCCTGGATTGGTAAAAAGGACATCCATGCTAATGGCTAAAATCAAACCTTTGTCTATGTTTACTTCCCTGGCTGATGGGGGAGGAAAGAAGACAGCAGGCAGCAGGGAGATAGCAAGATTCAAACTATATTTGAAAGTAATCTTTGGGGCCCAATAAATTATTTTATAGTATCAGCATTCATTTGTTTAAAAAATCCTGGCAGTGAATTTCATCAATTGTCAGAATGTAAAGAGAATAACACAGCATGGCTGGTTGCATTTTATGGTAGAAACATTCGGAAATACAGTAAGGAGGAGGCGAGATCAGTTACAGGCCACCTGTAGGGCAGGAGTATCCATCAAGGTAGGAATGGTAAAAGAGAAATTTTGCTTATCATTTTCTAATTTTCCCCATTGCCTATGTATTACACCGAAGAGAAAGGTTTAGCAAAGCAATATAAGTAATAACAGATGGTGAGCGCAGAGAATGTTCAAGTAACCCAAATCCTGAATTCTGGTGGAGTCAGCTGCCAGGGATCTGTTCCTTTGTCAGGCAAGGGCTGAAGAAAGCTGTGTTAGGAAGCCTGTCAATTAGTGTACCATGTCAACAGATTTTAGGGCCTGGAACATTAATCTGGAATTTTAGTTGGTGTTAGGATTCTGGGAGCAGTCAATTAGAAACCCTATCCGCACGTTATTGTCACAGCTGCTAAAAAAAAAATCAATAAAATCTCTTCCAAGCTATTGTTTCAAACATAAAACACAATATACAATAAATGTACAATAAAAGTATTAAAAAGATTTAAAATAGAATGGCAGATGTCGTAAACAGCACTCTGGCCTCAGAATCAGCCCTTAAGGCATTCAGATCCAGCTGGAGAGCCAATGAGAGTATTTTAGGCATGGAAAGCCAAGACACTCTGGCAAAACAACAACAACAACAACAAAAAACACCTAAATGAAAGATCTTTGCGAGTGAGATCCCAGTAGAAAGAACGGGGCCATCAAAGAAGGAGGTACCCTTCTCTGAGGGGAGGAGAGAACTTCCACTTTGACTATGACCTTGTCTGAATAAGATCGAAGTCAGTGAACTCAAAAGGCTTCCATAGCCTTGGCAACTCATGACTAGAGCCTAGGGAGATTACTGATGCCATAAACAAGAGTGTCAAATTGTTAACAACAGGAGTCACTGTGTACTTACTCCTCATGTGGGATCTCTGTCCTTAATGTGTTGTCCAATGTGAATTAATGCTATAACTAGTACTGACACAGTATTTTACACTTTATGTTCTGATGAAATCTTTACTTAATATATACCAAATCGATCTGTATATAAAGATAATTGAAAATGAATCTTGATGTGAATGGAATGGGAGAGGGAGCGGGAGATGGGAGGGCTACGAGCGGGAGGGAAGTTATTGGGGGGGGGGAGCCATTGTAATCCATAAACTAAACTTTGGAAATTTATATTTACTAAATAAAAGTTAAAAAAGGATTTAAAATAAGCAAGATTTAAAAGTGAATTATAAACAACTCAGGCTGGTGACTTATTTTCTAAAATTTTTTTCTGTTTTTGAAAATTTGATACTCAGGTTGGAGAGCATCAAACTGTTAGGTTATATTAAAATTCTCTGGTGGGGCTGGCGCCGTGGCTCACTAGGCTAATCCTCCACCTAGCGGCGCCGGCACACCGGGTTGGGGAGCCGGATTCTGTCCCGGTTGCCCCTCTTCCAGGCCAGCTCTCTGCTGTGGCCAGGGAGTGCAGTGGAGGATGGCCCAAGTGCTTGGGCCCTGCACCCCATGGGAGACCAGGAAAAAGCACCTGGCTCCTGGCTCCTGCCATTGGATCAGTGCGGTGCGCTGGCCGCAGCGCACTGGCCGCGCTGGCCATTGGAGGGTGAACCAACGGCAAAGGAAGACCTTTCTCTCTGTCTCTCTCTCTCACTGTCCACTCTGCCTGTCAAAAAAATAAAAAAAATAAAAAAAATAAAAAAAATTCTCTGGTGGTACAAGGTTACTCATGTGGTGTCACTGCAAAACATGAAATAGGATGAAGTAAAAAAAAAGAAACCACTGTTCCTTAACAGTTGAGAAAAGGACTTTTTTTTTCCTCTTCATATTATTTGTTGAACTCTTTACTTAGTGTAGGGTTAATCTATGAGTACAAAGTTAACTGATAATAGATCTTTGTAAAAAATAATGAAGAATGGGAATAGAAAGAGGAGGAAGAAGGGTGGGAGTGTGGTTGGGAGAGAGGGTAGGGTGGAAAGTATCACTATGTTCCTGAACCTGTATATATGAAATTCATGAAATTTGTATACCTTAAACAAAAATTTAAAAAAAAATTAAAAATCATTAAATAGGAATTAGCTTTCACTCTGGCAAAATGTCCTTTGACATTTTACATGTTGACAGCTGGGAACACTAGTTGGTTGCCTACAATTAGTGTCTATACACATGCAGAATGAGACGCATGCTCTTTATTTCTGGAAGTTTGTCTGTAAGTCTTACATA